TCCAGGACAGGGGTAATATGGCTACGTCGGTGCGTATTTGTCAAGAACCTGGCAGCAGCGTTCTGAACGACCTGCAGTCGATTCAGGGCAGACCGGAGCACCAACTAGGAGGGCATTTGCATAGTCCAGGCGAGAGGCAATGAAAGCATGGATGACTGACTCCAAATGCCTCCGCTTCAAGATTGGTCTGAGGCGAGTAAGGCGGCAAAGCTGGTAAAAGAACCCAGCTTTACCCCGAGACTTATCACGTACTGTTTGGGGTTTAAGGTTTAAAGGTCACAGAGTGAGAGCCATGGTGGTTGCGGGGGTCAAAAACAATTGACTCAGTCTTCTTTTCGTTTAATAATAGCCAGCCACTTTCTTTTGTTTTCACTCATCAGCCACAGAATGTCATACTGTGATCTCAGAAACAGAACCTCAGCAGCAAACTGGTTCAGTGCTGGATTTAATATTTAAAACGTCTGTAAAAAATAATTGATCCATTTATTTTATTGAATTCCAGACACTTTTTGCACTTTTTATTTTTGAGGTCTAACAATTAAAAAAACTGCATTTTTCTCATGATGTTTGCTGAAAACTGACTTTAAAACCAAAGTTTTCCACTGAGCCAGTTCCTTTTTTGCTGGATATCATAAAAATACGTTGAATATTTCAGCTGTTACACATCTACCCACCTGATTTAGCCATGCGGGTGGGTAGATGAAACAACCCCTCAGTCCCTTCTGGTTCAATAGTCACTAATGTTATAAAAATGATTAGATAACTTTAGTAACTAGTTCTGTTAACAATGTCTTAGCGAACAGCTGATTTTCATCACTCATTCTCACATCAGGCATTTGTTGCATAACAAACCAGAGTTTCTGTTGTTCTGCTCGTTTTTACCTGCCTGGTGTGATGAGGATGCTTCAACCTCACTGGGGGGGGGGGGGGGGGGGGGCTTAATTCAACAACAAATCTGCTGTGAGCGTTTAAGCCCGGACGAGCGGTTAACTCTTTCACCTTCAGACTTCTTCTGACCTTAAAGCATCAGTATTAGTGCCTTCATCAGAAACCTGTCACATCCAGTCCTATGCTGCCCCCTGGTGGAGGATCTGCAGGCAATGAGGGCCAGATTTATTTCTTTATTATTGTTGTTATATTAAATACATGATGAAGTAAAACTGCATCAGACAATAAAAGATGTCCTCACACACAATTAAACAGTTTTGGATAAATACAAGAGGTTTATGTTAGACTAAAATCTACAGATAAATAGAACTGTTGATAAAAAACCACTAAAATATTAATTCTTAAAATCTTTTTAAGAGAAAAAACAAAAATAACCTTCTGACATCTTCATATCAGTTAAAGTACCAGAGAACATAGAAGATGAACATAAACCCAACCAGCCATTCCTCCCCATCCCCACACATTTCTCTCCTCCTGCTCCCTCACATCATCACACAGTCATGCACATAGGACCTTTGGGGGTGGACAAGTCAGGGAGAGCGGGTATGGACCCCATTTCCGCATTCCTGTGGCAACCTGCCCCCCAATTTTATTTGCACCTTAAACACTTCCACCAACGACATTCCACGCAAACACACTTAGGGCCTTGGGAGTGAGCACATTCAACGGCATTTGGCAGGGGGATTTCTCAGCCTCATCCCGAGTGCCGGTGCCAACTTCCAGTTTTAAACTGCACTTAGACACTGAGGGCTGTAGGTGCAAGTGGGGTGGTGTGGTGGCATCAGCTGGCATAGGCCAGACGATGCCCGCACTGCCCGCTCACCACAGCCATGGAATACGCCTCATCAACACTCACTAACACCATATTGGAGCAGGCGGAGGGAGACTAGGGGTCTTAGCACACCTCTGTTGTCACTTGGCTTCCTGGGGCTGGAGGCTAGGAGGGAGATCTGGCCGTCCGGTTGGGGTCTGGGGTGGTGGGTTGCAGTGCTAAACGTTGGGCGGGGGAGCCTGCTCATCAGCACCCCAGCAGAAAGGGTTGAACTCTGGGAACCGGTAATGGTTGTACCCCATGTTCAGCAGTACCGGGACCAGAGTGAATAGGGTGTGTATGGGGAGCATGAGTGGGTGTCCGGCGTGCATTTTTGTAAGTCTTTGGTTGTATGTGTATGTGTGAGCATGATGGAGTGAGTGTGTGACTGTGTTTGTGTATGACTGTAAATGTCAGGTGGGGCCTTTGACTCCTCCCTTCACCTGGGACTTCTTTTGATGATATAGATCTTTGTCTCCCTGCCACACCTGGTGTGGAGTGCGGTGCCTTGGTCTGCCTGGGTCGTGGCTCCCGGGTCAGGGAGTTTAAGATTTTTGGCCTCTGTCTGACCAATCCCGGTGGCTGCCTGGTGGGTTCTGGGTCCCCGGCGGGGGTGGTCGCCCCTGGGTCCCGGGTCGCTGGGTCCCGGGCTCGGCCGGCTAGGGGGTGGGAGGCTGCGGGAAGGCCTGTGGGCTTGCTGCTAGTGATGTGTCGGTCGCGAAAGAACCGGCTCTAAGAGCCGGCTCTTTGAAGTGAACGACGGGAGCCGGCTCATCATTGGGAGCCGTTCCCTCCCCTCCCCCTCCCCTCTTGCTTTGGTGAAAGCTACAGGCGATTGGTCAGCATGTGTAACTGCGTCTCCAGACTGTCCACACACAGAGCAGTAGGGGCGGGGAAGAAGGAGGATAAGACTCAGACAGACAGCAGAGCACATGCGGGCGGAGGGAGACGAGAGGGAATGAGGAGGAGGAAAAAGGCAAGCAAGAGAGAGGAGAGTGCGACAAAGACAGTGAGAAAATGAGCGCCAGCAGTCGGAAAGTGGAGATTTCATAAAGTGTTCAGTTATTAAATCCATAGAAATGATAAATATTTGATATATTGCATTTTTTTACATTAGTAAATCATTTTACATATAGTTTTGCAATATTTGGGTGATAAATTTACTCTACGCAACAGAAAATCTGAGGAGCCACCTGGGAGCCAAAAGAGCCGGCTCTTTTTGGTGAGCTGAGCCAAAAGAACCGGCTCTCTAAAAAGAGCTGCAATTCCCATCACTACTTGCCGCCGATATCTCCCGGGACTCTGCCGGCTGCTGGTTGTGGCCCCTGGGGCCATCCTCTGCGCCTCTCGAGGGGGGCAGGGGCTTTTCTGATTGCAGTCTCCCTGGGGTTCCTGTGCTCTGGGGCAACTCCTGGATCTCTGGGACTTGGAGCTCCCTCTGTCTCCTGCACATCTTTAGGGGGCAGATCTGTGGACCCTCACACTCTCTATTGGACGCTCCTATAGAGAAACCTTACATAAACAAGCGCGTGTACACACACAGGTGCTCACACGGTGCTCTCATAAGTATGGACTTGGGCACGTTCAACACATGTCTTAAGGCTATGGTGGGCACTTAATGCACTGTGATTCATTATCCTGTGATTATTCAGTTAAACAATGTTGATTATATATTTCTTCATCAAGTTGACGCAGTGATAGCTTGATCTTGTTGTATTGTTGTTGTGTCCCATTTTTTATTATTATTTTTCTTCTCTCTTTCTGCAGGTCTAGCAGACTCTTGTTCATTATTGTTTATTTTTGTGGAACACACAAAACTGACTCCACTCTCGGTTTTGCTTTGATAAATTGTTTCCTCTTCAGTAATCGCTGCCAAACCACAACGTGAACAAACAACTCTGAAGCTCTCACCGACATGAAGGACCTTTAGAGGAACTGTAAAAAACTCGATCCAGGGAATTCACTGGACTTAAATCTGGCACTGCTCTGATGTTCAGAGCAAACAGTTTCCGATCCAAAAGCAAGTCTGAATATTTTATTAGTATTTATTATAAATAAAAATGACAAATTTTGGTTTTTGATTGTTTGCAAACTTTTCTACAAACTTTAGGTTTCTTGTTTGGTTTTTGAAAATGTGTTTGTGGGGAAAATTGGTTTAATTTGCTGAAAGAAAAAAACGTGTCAGAAAAAAAGCTATCACGTGTTTCTGGCAGCTGCTGGTAGCTTTTGTGTGATCTGCTGCCCTAAGCTGCTGCAGGTTGCATAAAACATCAGAGATCACAGGTTCTGCCTGCAGGGCGTTTGCTGAAGCAGGAGCTGATTAACTGTTTGTAAGCTGGTTGGGTGGAGGAGCATCTGGATCTGCTTCCTGTCATTGTTGTTGGGCACTTCCTGCATCAGGAACATTCTGGACTCTATCGTGGCTTAGAATATTTAACCCTTAAACCAACAGGTTCTTACTGAGACCATTTCACCCTTAAACAGAAAATAAAACAAAAAATATAATCATCTACCACCATCCACCATCCATCCATCATCTGTCCATCCATCATCCATTATCTCATCCATCCATCCATCTATCTATCTATCTATCTATCTATCTATCTATCTATCTATCTATCCATCTATCCATCATCCATCAGCTCATCCATCCATCCATCAGGTCATCCATCCATCCATCCACCCATCATCCATCCATCCATCCATCCATCATCCAACAGCTCATCCATCCATCCATTAGCTCATCCATCCATCCATCCAACAGCTCATCCATCCATCCAACAGCTCATCCATCCATCTATTAGCTCATCCATCCATCCATCATCCATCCATCCATCCATCCATTAGCTCATCCATCCATCCAACAGCTCATCCATCCATCCAACAGCTCATCCATCCATCTATTAGCTCATCCATCCATCCATCATCCATTAGCTCATCCATCCATCCATCCATCATCCAACAGCTCATCCATCCATCCATCCATCAGGTCATCCATCCATCCATCCATCCATCCATCCATCCATCCATCCATCCATCCACCTATCATCCATCCACCATCCATCCATCCATCCACCTATCATCCATCCACCATCCATCCATCCATCATCCAACAGCTCATCCATCCATCTCATCCATCCAAGGACAGGTTGCATCATTATTTATTATCTTCATCTTTAAAAGCTTTGAACTGCTGAGCAGATATCAGATAAAACTCTTCGGTCACTAAACTTTTAAATTATACAAACTCCAAATGATTGGATATTTTTCCACAGTCATGTCTGTGAGGTTTTATGGATATCAGCTGATTCCTGCTGTTTATCCATGCTCAGCGTTCCCAACGTGCATCAGACTCTGACCACTGGGTGTTCCTGCATTCTGCAGCACCACAATCACAGGAGTTTGTTTCACATGCTGGAGTCTTTGGAGCCGGAGACATCTGGAGGAGCAGACAAAACACCGAGCCGCCTTCCATTGTTTTCTGTACAGAACGGAACCGGTCGCCAGGGGAGAGAGAAAGGAGCCGTTGGTGCTTCTAGAAATGATTTCCGTCTTTAGTTCTGAGGTCCAAACAGGATGCAGAATCATAAAGTTCATCACTTCTCAGGCGAATGGACGCCCACAGACTGCTCCCATCTTCCCCTAAAACCCGAAAAGAAGTTCTGGATTTATTCTGATTTATTGGTTTTCTGACCATCATGTTGCTGATTGTTCTCCTGCAGATCATCAGCAGCGTTGAGGTTTCACTGGGAGCTGACGAGGAGACGCTGTGCACCTCAAACGCCTGCTTCACCCTGCACGCGGTGCAGCTGAGCTTTGAAAAGGCCCGTCTTAGCTGTGAGGACAATGGAGGCTACCTGATGACAGTCAGGGACAGAGACGAGGAGCATGAGCTGCTCTCGCTCCTCAGGCTGAAGGAGAAACATCACAGCAACGGCTTCAGGCTCTGGATCGGGTTAAGACTGAAGGAGAAGGACTGTGTGCTACCTGATGAGACTCTCAGGGGGTTTAAATGGATCCTCGGGGAAGAGGATTCCCAGTATTCCAACTGGGAAAAGGAGCCAGCCTCCACATGCACTGAGAGATGTGTGAAGGCTAAATATGTGTTTTCCAGTCCGGAGCAGTTGAAGTGGACCGATGGGGGATGCAGAAGCCAGGCCTTTTATGCATGTAGGTTTTACTTTAAAGGGATGTGTGAGCCTCTGGCGCTGACTGGACCTGGAAGGATCTCCTACACTCCTCCATTCTCTAAGAAGCCACAGAAAGGGAAGATGAAACTCTATCCCGTCGGAACGTATGCTGTTGTTTATTGTGGCGGCCGGGAGTGGGGCTACTCCGTGTGTCATGACACCAACAGCTGGAATAATCCTGGCCCGTTTTGTGAGCTGGAAACCCAAAACTGTGGGACCAACAATGGTGGATGTGAGCATTTGTGCCAACAGAAGATGGAAGCGTTTCAGTGCTCCTGCAGGGACGGTTATGAGCTGGAGGAGGACGGGTTCTCCTGCAGGAAGCAGAACTTGTGTGGTCCCCGCTCCTGTGAGTATGAGTGTGTGACGGGGGAGTCGGGGTACTCCTGCAAATGTCCAAACGGGTTCAAACTGAGCCAAAACCAGCGTGACTGCGCTGACGTCAACGAGTGTGAGTCAGACATCTGTCAGGATCACTGGTGTGAAAACACACACGGCAGCTACACGTGTGTGTGTCGCGACGGTTACACGATGACAGACGGCGAGTGTAGCGACGTGAATGAGTGTGACGAGTCCAGATGTGAGCACATCTGCAGGAACAGCGCCGGCTCCTTCTCGTGTTCCTGCAACCAGGGCTTCACTCTGTCCCAGGATGGACACTCCTGTGCTGATGAGGACGAATGTCTCACTGACCCTTGTCCCACTGGGTCCACATGCACAAACACCTTTGGTGGCTTCCTGTGCACCAACCAGACCGAGACAGACCGGACGACGGACGGGTCAGCTGAGACCCCGCGCGTGTCCCCCACACCAGCTGCCCCATCAGCTGAAGGACCACTAGAGTCTTTAACCAGAACCACCATGGAGCTCCAGCATCAGTCCCCCCACACAGACCCGGATGATCCCACAGACCTGAAACACAATACGTCCTTGCCTACGATCATGACCAAGTCTATGAACTCAAGGGTGATGGTCTGCGTACTCGGCTCGGTCGTCCCTCTCCTCCTCCTCCTCGCTCTGACTTTGTTCATCATCATTTTCCGAAGCAGTTGCTTTAAAAAAGAGGAGAAGAAGAAGACGACAGCCGACGGGTACTGCTGGGTATCCTCTGGTTTGGACCCTCGACTCGAGAAACTCTACGAGTCCATCCAGACCGATGACCTATGATCTGTCAGGAACCAGAACTTTGGTGTTTATTTATGTAATTTATGCTTTTATATCCTGAAATTCTGATTCATCAAATCACATAAAAACTTTACTGTTCATGAAATTGTGTCTGAAACAAAAACAGGATTAATGTCTGTTATAAAAGTTGTTCATGACTGGTTTCCTTGCATTGTGTGAGCGGGTTCTGGGTGTGGAGGTGTTCCGGACCGAGCCGGGCCTGTTATGTTAACCCCTCAGTAACCACAGAAGCAGAGAAAGTTTATACAGGTCTGTTGTTCAAACGTTGGGGTGAACTTTAATGTTTGTTATTATTAAAAGTGTTTGAAAGTTAAGATTTCAAAATAAAAGATTTCCTGGTCTGAAATAGAGGGAGAGGGGAATGTTTTCAGATTATTTAAATTTGATTTATTTTAACATAGCAAGATGCTTTAGAAGCAAAAGGAAAACATGAAACCCAACACGCGCTGTCCCATTTTCCGAGTGAAGTGTGTCTTTGTCATCATGATTTTATGAAATAAATACCCCCAAAAAGTTTTGGGGGACAAAACTAAAAGAATATTTATGTTCTTCACATCTTGGAAAAGCCTTTTTCTTACAAGTGAGCCCTGAAATAAATAAAAGATGATGAATCTGTCTTTATTTTATAAATATGAAATCCTCCCGAGAATAAGTCTTTTGCTATTTGTCATAAAAAGGCGTTTTTTCCAGACTTCTGCACAGATTTACATTAAATATTAAATCGAAGCTGGAAGTTTTCAAAACAAGCTCGAGACTGAAAGGAGAAACGTCGCCCTCTCGTGGCCAAGCGGTGAATTACATCAGATTAGATTAATATCCTCTGAACGGGAAATTTATTCTGAAGAACAAAAAAGCGAAAACATTTGTTTGATGTTCATTTTTGTCAAATCAGAAGAGAAAATGTATTCAACTAGATTCAGATTAAATCCTTAAATATTTATTACAAATAATATAACTTTTACTTTTACAAACAAACCCGAATTCAGAAACGTTTTCCCCAGCGGAGAAAATGAGGCCAGACTACTTTTCTTTAACTTCCATAATTATAAATAACAAATATTCTTCATTATAAATGATCCAACATTTCTGTAAACAAAATCCCGTAAAGGAAAACTGTTGATCGGAACCACTAACGGAGCACCTGGATCAGAACTTTGGCTCAGTTCTGTTGTCCGTTCCATTAGGAAACCTTTGTTAATAATAAAGTACTGATGAACATTAATGACCCATATCATTAACAAACTTCTCTCAAACATAAAAGGATTTATGTTGTTATTTTTATGATAAAGATGACTATTATTAGTGTTTGTAATAAAAATAATTATTATTTTCATCCTTATTATTGTTATTAATAATAATAAGTATTTTTATTGTTATTGATAATAATATTTATTATAATTATTACTGTAGCTGTTGTTATTAAAAATAATAATAATTGCTGTTGTTAATAATAACAATAATAATAATAATAATTATTATTATTATTGGAGCTGTTATTAAAAATAATAATTATTATTGTTGTTAATAATAACAACAATAGTAATAATAATAATAATAATAATTATTATTATTATTATAATTATTATTATTATTATTATTAATTACTTTTATTATTCAGGCCAACGTGTTTCTGTGATTATTTAATGAAACATTTTCGTTTCGGAGGTTTTAGTGGTTCTGGTTCTAAATGGGTTTGTTATTAATCTGTACAACCAGAGAGGATATAAATATCCGAGATTGTTCTGAAGGTCCAGATGTTCCTGAACAGAACTGCAGCTTTTATCCGGTTTCCTTCCTGGTTCTGGAGGCCCCGGGGGACCCGCTTTCCGGACTGGAGTTCCACATAACAGTCCGGTCCTCCCGCAGCAGAACGTCTCTGGTTCTGAAGGACAATGATTCTGGTCTCGGTTCTGGTCCTGCTGCTGCCTGACCCCGGACTCGGGTCGAGGCGAGCCGGGCCGTGTCTGCCTGTGTGTTCCGGAGGAGAGTGCATCACCGTTAACCGGGACCGGGTGGATTTTAAAACCGCAGAGGAAGCGTGTCGGAACCAGACCGGGGTTCTGCTGACCCTCCAGTCTCAGAACCACCAGAGGATCTTTGAGGTTCTGACCAAACAAGCGTTTGGAAACTTCTGGATTGGACTTCGTTTGCCGTCCGGATCCTGCAGCGACCTCTCGGTTCCGCTCAGAGGTTATGAGTGGACCTCTGGAGATCCAAACGGAACGTATGTTCCGTCCAAATGGACCGCTGAAGCGGAACTCTGTTCTCCTCGCTGTGTTTCTCTGTCCTACCAGCGCTGGGAGGAGCGGTTCTGTTCGGATCATCTGGACGGGTTTCTGTGCAGAAGCGAGCAGAAGTTCGCCTGTCGGGGAGAAGACCGAACCTTCAAAAGTTCTGCAGGCTGCAGAAGTGGACCGTGTGAGCAGCAGTGTACCGATGTGGGTGGAGGGTTTAAATGTTCCTGTGTCAGAGGGTACCGAACCGACCTTCTGGACCCGAGGCGGTGCCGACAGTTCTGTGGAGAGGGGAGCTGCCCGGCGCTGTGTGAAGGAGAGAGGTGTTCGTGTCCGGACGGGTTCGTGCTGAGCGGCAGGACCTGTGAGGACGTGGATGAGTGTGAAATGGGTCAGTGTTCTGGAGGGTGTGTGAACAGCTTCGGGAGCTTCATGTGTTTCTGTCCCGAGGGGTTCCGACTCCACAACGAGGTCCGATGCGTCCCGGTGCGTCCAGCTGGGTCCAGCACGACTCCTGCAGCCGAACCGGTTTCTAAGAACGGAACACTGAAGGTATCCACGGTACCGAAGGGCGTCTTCCTCTGGATCTGGGTCGTGGTCGCTGTGACTTTGGTGGCTTCTGTGGTTCTGATTCGGTTCTACGTTGTTAAACGTCAGAAACGGAACCAACCCCCTGCTGCTCCTGCAGAGGACGCGACCGGAAGTTAAAACAGGACCAGAACCGCAGAGGAACCGGTGATCAGAACCTCAGAACCCGAGGTGAGGAACTCAGTTTTACACGAGGAAACAGCGCCACCTGGTGGTTGGTTTATAAACGTTATAAACGTCAGAGCGGCTCGATGTCAACAAACAAGTAAACAAACAAGTAAAGAAGAAACCCATTCATTCTGAACTCAGCTGTCAGTTACGTTTGGTCTAATTATAGAAATAAACACACACACACACACACACACACACACACACACACACACACACACTGAAATGTGATTCTTTGTGAAATCAGTCATTTCAGTGATCGTGCACCGACTCCGGCGTTGAAGGCCAATACCGATTTACTAAACTTTCTGATTATCAGCAAAATACAAAATTCTGATCCAAGGGAACAAAAACTTGCTTCTGTTCACATCTGCTGCTGACAGAATAAAAAACATTTATTTTTTTATTGCTGCTTAATTATCAAATAAATCAGATTAATGTCAGATTGGCCGAAACTGCTGCTTCTCCTCTGTCTGTTATATGAAAAATATAAACATTTATTTTGTAAACTTTGTTATATTTCCACAGGAAAAGTGAAGTTTTTGTACATGAAGGTTTATTTTACTGTTTTGTACTGATTTGTTCTCATAAAGCGTACAAGTGAGTTAAGGACAGTATGTTTATGTGTTTATGTTTATGTATTTAGCAGACGCTTTTGTCCAAAGCGACTTACAAGTGATAATCGGCATGTTGCCCTTGAGGCTAACACAACAATAACAACAACAACTTGACATCAGTCATGGAGAGTAGGGAACAAAGGAGTGGACAGTAGAGAGGGGGACGGGTGCAGGGAGGGTGCTAGTTAAGAAGATGCTCTCTGAAGAGCAGGGTCTTCAGGAGTTTCTTGAAAATTGAAAAGGAAGCCGCTGTTCTGGTAGTGCTTGGACGGTCATTCCACATTTGTGGAACAATGCATGTAAGCTTGTGAATTTGGCCTAAGAACACACATCACACCACGCTGTCTCCTGACATGTTCTCTGCTCTCTAGGGCCCTACTCTCCTTTACTGTGTGGACCGCTACCTGTTCTCTACCACCTTTACACCAGGGACCCTCACCTACTGTACCTTTTATCTTCCTTCCTCCATTTATCTGTCTTCCAAACCCTAAAATAGAAACGCAGGTGTATGCTAGAATGACCTGCAGCATGTTTATGTCTCAGGATCTTCAAGCTGCACTGACGAACCACATGTATGTAGTCGCTCACTCTCAGCAGAGCAGGGAATGGCGGTGGACACCTTGACCCAGGATGGGGGTTGGGGTCAGTACAGGGATTAACGCCAACCACAAGTGTCAAATCCTGACTTCCATAAAGAGGAAGGATGGCATAATTGGACAGATTGTTGTAAGATTGTTCTTTAAAGAGCAAGTCAACCCCTACCAGAGTCTAACTCCACTTCCACTTCCTGTTTGAAAAATGCAACAAATGCTGTTGCTTGGCAGACCGAGAGGGCGGAGCTGCTAACAAATACACACACACACAGGCTCACGACAGCATTGTGACATCATAATGTACCAGTTTACATCATAGCATACCTCTTAGCCAATAGCGGTGGCAGATGTAAATTAAAATACAGTGCAGAGTTTTTACCTGACAACGGCACAACACTGCCAGTTTTAGGCAGAATGTTTAAATTTTAACCAAGATGCACTGAAATGCCAAATTATTGACTACACGTGTCTGCAGCACGAGTACACACTCGTTTATTTAGTTTATCAGCAAAAAAAAGTCGATTTGGGGGTGACTTGCTCTTTAAGGATATACGTCAAACAAATGAACACCACATATTGCACCTTCGTAAGTTGCCACCGGTGCAGCAACTGGTCCAAATCCTGACTGGACCTAGACCAGTGCAACTACTCTGAAAGGGGTTGAGGAGGTTCTGACAGGCCTAACGATTTTTATTAGATGTGATGTGTATAAACTAACGTGTGTGGATTCCACTTATTTATTTACCTCGTTTTATTTTTAATCACCAGCTTTGATAAAAACTGGAAAATTCAACTTGCGATTCAGATCTGTTCAAATTTAACGAGTCTAATTTTAACACCACAAAAATAACCGGAAGGATGAACCCTTGTCAGACGCGCCGATTGTTCTTCAGATTGCTAGAAAGGACCAGACATTTAATTACGTTTTGTGAGCTTATTCTGGATCGAAAGGAGTCAGTTGAGGTGGTTTGGGCATCTGGTCAGGATGCCTCCTGGACGCCTCCCTGGGGAGGTGTTTCGGGCATGTCCTGCCGGCAGGAGGCCCCCGGGTCGACCCAGGACACGTTGGAGAGGTTACGTCTCCAATCTGGTCCGGGAACGCCTTGGGGTCCTGCCGGAGGAGCTGGTGGAGGTGGCCGGGGAGAGGACGGTCTGGAGCCCCCTAGTTGGGATGCTGCCCCCGCGACCCGGACCCGGATAAGCGGAGGAAGACGACGACGAGTTTATTCAAAATGATCCAGTTCATACAATGATGAAAATTAACCAAACACCGTTATGGTTTTCATTCTTGAAATTAGGAGAACTGATAAACCAAAGCTCTTATGGCGGCGATATGAAATAAACTGACCTTTGATAAAAGTGGTAATTAGATGACACACAAGATTATGTTAGAATCAACGATAAGTTCTGAACTGGGCTAACTGGTGTGTGTGTGTGTGTGTGTGTGTGTGTGTGTGTGTGTGTGTGTGTGTGTGTGTGTGTGTGTGTGTGTGGTGTGTGTGTGTGTGTGTGTGTGTGTGTGTGTGTGTGTGTGTGTGTGTGTGTGTGTGGGTGTGTGTGGGTGTGTGTGTGTGTGTGGGTGTGTGTGTGTGTGAGGGAGGGAGAAGATCTTAAGAATTTAACGTGAATTTAGATCAAAATAAAAACAACTGATCTTAGCAAGAAAAGTCAGCCGAGTGAAATGTTACACAGACCTTTGCCTCGTCGCCAAGAGGTTACCGGAGGGCTTGACACAGCCTTTGTCCCCACTCAGGAAAGCTTCTTGGACTGAAAGATTCTGGCTCCTGGGATGGTCAACTGAGCAGACTGCGTGTGGAGGAAACACTTTCCTCTTTAGGTTGGCTTGACTCCGTTCTTCTCAGGCACCGAATAGTCGAATTCAGAGTATTTCCTGTTTGGCGTAAACGATTTATAAAAACAAAACGTGGTTAACGCTGAGTTATACTGTAACTTTGGGAGCACTAATAACTTAACAACTTTAAGAACGACAGAGCTTGCAAGGCAAGGTGGAGAACCTTGCTGGAGTTACTGAAAGTCTCCTTCCGGAGTATTTCTCTTATCCGATGGCACCATCTAGTGGCTGACAAGCATATCACACAAAGAGTCTGTCCTCTGTTTTTTTTAAGATGGCGACATCACGTTTCTTGTTTCTTGTTCTGTAGCCGACAAACAGCTATAACACGTTTTATGAGTATTATTCTCATGTCATGTTGTGTTCTCATATATTTATATTTTAAAGACTTTCTTGTTCATGAAAAGTTCATCAACTCTGCATCAGCCGAGCTATTCCTTCAATTTGAAGCATGTATGCGGTAGTCTAACGCTGTTGGTTAGTTCTGGTCGGCGCTCAGTTTCCTGTTGCACGGAGCTCTGCGGGGCAGGGGGCGTGATTAGCTACATTTTTTTAAAAAGATGTATTGCTTACATTATATCATAGTACATGATAAGATAGAAAAGAGAATAGAATAGAATGCCTTTATTGTCACTATACAGGTGTAAAGTGAGATACAGAGCATCTCCTACTCAGTGTAACACAAACATACTTGGGGGGGGGGGGACACTTCTGCAGCGCTATTTACATATGGACAGTAATGGTATGTATATACAATTATTGCACATGGAATTTGGTATCAACAGATAATGGTGGTCAATGGAGGAAGTGGGAAGTGGGGGGCTGTGTTATCGGTGCATGTGTGAGTTCAGGGTGGTTATTGCTTTGGGGAAGTGTGTAGTGTGTGTGATAATCACTTTTACGGATTTCTGACAAACCATACATAATTTCTGAAAGGGGAAAACTCTAGAACGATACTTTAATCCATCTTTACTCCATTTCTTCTGCCCCCCCAAGAGAAGTTGTCAATGGCCTATTAAATGGGGAGGTTTGTCTGCACATACCCATATGCAGTTCACCCTACTAACCACTGGATGGCACTGTGGCTCATCTGAATAAACTCAACCTTTCCAACAATGAAAGTCTATTAACATCACAGTTTGAAGAGATGAACCCATATGAGACATCAAAATGGTCACATTAAACGTGGAAAAACTGAATTCATATGTTAAAACTTCCCCATAGCATGAATTTAGCTGGTGAGAGGGAAATGGCAGAGTTTTAACATAAAAAAGAACATTTATAACCCCTTTAACCATAGACTTAAATATTGAGATTTAAACACATTAACTTTGCTGGTAAACAAACCAAAACACCTTTTGACTGTTGATAAACAAAAATACAAGGTTTTATAAAGACTCAATTGTGGAAATTTCCCAGAATTAACCACGAAGGGGTTTACGAGTAGACAAGCAATTAGACCTTGGTTAGAGATTAGCCTGGGACAGCTTTTGATGTAAAACAGAGCCATTTCTGGTGCCGTCCGAGGTCTTCAAATGGTTTACCAACCGGACAAAACAAGTCATTTGGTGAAATTTACAACCCTGGGAACGAGTCGTAGGAGACTGAGACGGGATATTAAAAGGGGGTTTGGGAATTTTATGACTATTGACCCTTTGCACGTGACGTCACGCCACTCATGTGACCGCCCCCTTCGCCATGATGGACGGCACAAAGACCGTTTACACCCGTAGAAACTCCAGTGAAGCTAGTGAAAACAAGCCAGTTTGAAGCCTTTTGTCGCTTTAATTTAGTTGATTTGACAGTAAAATGGTTTTAGCTTGCTGCGTGGTTGGCTCCACTAAGAGACAAGGATGTAAACTCAACTCGTTTTTTCTTTTTAATAACTTTGATGGAGACTGAGGACGGAGATGAACTGCAGCGATCAATCAATCAAGCGGACTAGCAGCCGTTAGATTTGCAGCGAACGTGTTTTTACCGGGTAAGATCAACATTCATTTATTTCACGAGGAAGACAGGGACAGGGATAAATGTGATGTGTGTGTAGTGTGTGTATGCGTGTATAGTACGTGTAGTGTGTGTGTGTGTATAGTATGTATGTGTAGTGTGTGTGTGTGTGTGTGTGTATAGTGTGTATGTGTGTATAGTGTGTGTGTGTGAATAGTGTGTATAGTATGTGTGTGTGTGTGTGTGTAGTATGTGTGTATACTATGTGTGTGTGTGTGTGTGTATAGTATGAGTGTGTGTGTATAGTGGGTGTGGGTATAGTGTGTGTGTGTGTGTGTGTGTGTGTGTGTGTGTGTGTGTGTAGTGTGTAAAGGATGTGTGTGTGTGTGTACAATGTGTATGTCTGTATAGTATGTGTGTAGTGTGTGTGTCTGTGTGGTAGTGTGTATGTGTGTATTGTATGTGTGTGTGTGTGTGTATAGTGTGTATGTGTGTATAATATGTGTGTGTATAGTGTGTATGTGTGTATAGTATTTGTTTGTGTATAGTGTGTGTGTATGTATAGTTTGTGTGTGTGTGTATAGTATGTGTGTGTGTGTGTGTGTGTGTGTGTGTGTGTGTGTGTGTGTGTGTGTGTGTGTGTATAGTTTGTGTGTGAGTGGCGGGTATTTCTGTTCTGAGGTGAGCTGGTAACGTGCCGGACCGCTGGAGGAAAACCAAGGGAAGTGCT